GTGGCTGCCCCATCCCTGGAAGTGTTCCAGGCCAGGTTGGATGGGGCTTTGGGCACCCTGGTGTAGTGGAGGGTGTCCCTGCCCATGGCAGGGTGGGGTGGAACTGGATGATCTTTGAAGGTCCCTTCCAACGCAAACCATTCTATGATTCTAACTGGTTTTCCCTCTCTGTCTCTAAGCATTCCAGCTCACCAGCCCAACTTCATCATGGCCATTCGCATCATGGGTTGTGTCACATTCCCTGCCAGAGGTGACAACCAACATCTACTCATGACAGACTGCACATTCAGGAGCACATCAGCACAATAACTGGTGCCACCCTGAAAGCTTTGCTCTCAGCCAGCGCAGCAGTGAGCTCTCGTGTCGGGGCATGAGGGATAACTCACATTCGAGGACCCCGCTCTGAAGAAAACTCGCAGTGGAACACTACTATCACTCGTTTGTTCTCCGCTGGCTGGATTGGCTTCTTCAGCAAGTAGTCTTCCACATCCTCTTCCATGTGTAGGTTTACAGCACCCTGTAAAGGCAGAGCCATGCCCGAGCACACACAGTGAGTGGAGGAGAACAGTAACGAACCTATCCCACTTCCTTGCACACCATCTCCTCATCTTCTGTCTCCTAGAGGAGCTCTGTCAACTCTCCCTAGCCGCTGAGAATACAGCTTCAGACCCAAGCAGAACGTTACAGATAGTCTAACACTGACTTAGGGTGACCTGGACTTGCTTCAGGTGGCCACTTCAACACCTGTAGGTGGTGGCTCGTTGGATTTCCCATCCCATTGCATTCGAGAGGGCAGGCCAGGAAACTTCAAGACCAATTATGTTTTGCACGGCCATTTGTTCTTTGAAGTCTGTGGTTTAAAAGAAGTTTAATATTCTAAATTTAGCTTCCCTAGATATCAGGATGCTGGACACAGAGCATCTCACATCCTCTGGGACCATCTCCCTGCCTGCCACATAAGTCACCTCCTCTGCTAAGGACAGCGGAACGTTCCCTCCTTCAAAGGAAAAGTGTTTTTATGAACCAAGCATGAGCTCAGTGTGCCAGGAGTCACGCAGGGTGTAGGTGTGACAAGATCCCAGACCCCACGGAGGGACTTGGGCATCTCAGCTGTACCATACACACATGGCCTTGGATACTCGCTACTGGAGAGCGACCCCAGAGCAAAGCGACTCCAGTTTGGAACTTCAGACAACTCTACATTGCTCCTATGGGGTCGACATACCTTGATGTGTCCTCCTTCGTACTCGTACGGGTATCTACAGTCAATTATCACACATTCCTTGATGAAGCTTGCAAACTTCCCAGTCAGCACAGACACAATCTGGAAGGGGGGAAGGAAAAAAAAAGAAAAAGTTCAGTTGTTCTGAGGGGGCTTTGTTTGTTTTGGTTTTTTTCCCCACTGAAGAATTTTTCTTACTGTCCCCGGAACACCTACCATTTCTGAGTCAATATATTTTAAGTCTTGATGTTTCCCGTCGACAGTGTGGAACAAGTAACCCTAAAAAACAGACAGCATTTAACTGAGACAATTCCAGGCGTATCGAAGGGATTTTGCAGATCTTTTTGGATAACCACACGTGCATCGCTGTGTGTCTAACCCGTGCAAGCACCGTTTCACCGACAGCTTTTCCATAGGAATTTGCATACGTGCTGTACTCAGGCTGGTCTGAGACATCTCTACCAAGAGAAGCCACTAAAACACTTGAATCTTCTGAATTACCTTTGAGAAGTCACCAATAAGGTCGCTCTGGTCACTATCCAAAATGCTTTCGATCTCCGCCGTGGAGGATTGTGTCTTCACCATTTTCATGCTCTGGAGGGACACGGGTTAGAGATCAACTCCGAGCACTGACGGCAGAAAGATCCTTTTCCCATAACACGACAGAAAACTCAGGAGTTTACTCTGATGCCCTGAACTACGACTCCTCAGCTTCCCCTTTGCATTAGGCAAAGCTCAGGCTCAAGAGTATGGAAATACTGGAAATAATGGAAACACTGCGCCAGCTCCCCCAGATCTGCGCTATGCAGAGAGAACACAGTTTTGTAGAATCACAGAATCCCAGAACAGTTTGGGTTGGAAGGGACCTCAAAGATCATCCAGTTCCAACCCCCCTGCCATGGGCAGGGACACCCTCCACTACACCAGGCTGCCCAAAGCCCCATCCAACCTGGCCTGGAACACTGCCAGGGATGGGGCAGCCACAGCTTCTCTGGGCAACCTGTGCCAGTGCCTCACCACCTTCAGAGGGAAGAATTTCTTCCTTAGATCCCACCAAAATCTCCCCTCTTCCAGTTTAAAGCCATTGCCCCATGTCCTGTCACTCCATGCCCTTGTCCAAAGCCCCTCTCCAGCTTTGTAGGTCAGCAATTCTCCTGAAAAAGCTCTCATCAACCTTCCCAAGCCAGACACCTATCTTAGAGCCTCTCCCAATCAATTCATGCTGAGCCACCAACCGTTGAATCCTCAGAAGGTGTTCCAGGCAGGCTCTTCCTCTTCTTGCTTTTCCCTGGAGAATTCTCTTCCTGGGATCTCTCCATCCTTTTCTGGGTGGTTCTTCCTACGCCACCAGGCAGAGATGAAGAGCCAAACAACCGACATCGTTTGGCCTATGAGGAAGGAGAAAAGCAAAGGCTTGCCTTCACTCCAGGCTTGCCTTCACTCCCAGCTTGCCTTGCAAAGATCAGAAACTAAGCAAGCCTCAGACTTTCAGACCGTTACCAGTTTTGCTTACACAGGACACTGCCACTGCACAGCAACAGCAGGATGTTAAATAGGATCATGTAAATTCAGGACCAATGTTTCCAGTGACATTTGTTTCTTCCAGTGTGGACTGGGTGAGGGTGGAGCACCATAAGTGCCAGCAGAGTGCTTCATACCAATTAGCAAACAATCTATCAGCAGATTAAGAGCTTTTTGGTGGAGCCTAAACTCCCTTCGCAGTCTGTTATCAGAATACTGGGCTACAGGCATTTCAGGCAAGCCTGGGCAGAAGGTGTTCAAGGTATGTCAAGGAGCACCTGATAAGGGTGGTCAAGATGTTCTGGCATTTATGAAGCACTTTTGTGAAAAGTCAATGCCTACATCCAAACAAGGAGCATTGTTCTGCACTGAGGAAGCCTTCCAGGTACACAGGCTTTAGACATAACAGAACAGGGAGGGGGGCTTTTGCCATATCTTGTTTTGCTGCTGCTATTAGGGATCCAGCAGCAGAGACAGTGGGGTCACTTGTCCCAGCAGTGAAAAGGGCTGCCAGAACAAAGACCCTGTCTCTGCTCTGTTGTGCACTGCCACAACACTCACCCGATTGTCGGCTTTCCTCATGACCAGCGGTGCAGTCCAGAGGCTCGCCACATCAGGCGGCATCTCCTCGTCGTTCTGAGGGGAAAAAAAAAAAAAAAAAAAAGAAAAATTCATTCTCATCTATTTCTCTGTGGGCAGAGACTGTAAATATCTACAGCTTCTGCACAGCTTGGGCAAACATTCCAGGGAAATTCTTATGTCAGAGCTGTTTTAGGAGTTCAACTCAATTACTAGTCCACTACTCAAAGGAATAACAGAACCGAGTCGAGGCAGGTTAGAGAAGGTGAGTTGTATCAATTCATTGCTTGATTAACAGTGATGTTCCTCCAAAGCTTTAGGCATTTCAAACTCAGTTGGAAACAGCCTTCTATTGAGGTGGCTCGAAAGCAAACATTACCTTTAGCTCTTCCAGCAAGTTTCTCAAGACAGACACCAACTTTTCAAATAATCCTCCCTAGTAACGCAATTCTAAGGAACAGCAGCGATTCTTCACCTAACCGCTGCTCGCGCCCCAAGCCAATCCCCCTGTCTGCCCTAGGGAAGGGCACACAGAAGACAGGGACACTGAAAGAGGTGGCACCTCATCTTGTTGCACTCCCTGGCACCTGGCTCCTTGCAGTTTGCCTTGCACTGACTCCTGCTGGAACATCCGTGCTGGCAGACTTAACACGAGACAGAGCCGATTTTGAAACACGTCGTACTTCCTTGGTGCGTACCTTCAGATCTTGCTCATCCAGCAGCTCTAGGAATCCATCATCATCTTCGCTTTCAGAGGAAGTCAGAGAAGACTGCTGCTGGAAAACCGGCCTGTAGTTTTCCTGCTCACCCACGGGAAACTGCAAGAAGACAGTCGGTTCTAACAACATTCCTTCTCTTCACTGCAGGGTGCTGCAGCCAGAGGTGACACCGTGCCTCTCACTGCCCTACAGAAAGTTACTCCACCCCTTGAATACACTTGAGCAGATCCCAAACTGAGTTCCAACGCTTTTATTTGATCCTTACAAGAGCACAGTGCCTCGTTAGACTCATTAAGCAATAAGCCTCTCCTCTAGAAGCAGCTATCCAGCGAAGGTGCCAAGGAGAGAAATGGGTGGTACCGAAAGGAACAAGAATTAATGCAAACTGTGCAGCTGGTGAGCAGGAGATTAGGAGTGCCAAGATAGAATCATAGAATCCCAGAATGGTTTGGGCTGGAAGGGACCTCACAGACCATCCAGCTCCAACCCCCTGCATGGGCAGGGACACCCTCCACTACACCAGGTTGCCCAAAGCCTCATCCAACGTGGCCTTGAACACTGCCAGGGATGGGGCAGCCACAGCTTCTCTGGGCAACCTGTGCCAGTGCCTCACCACCCTCGAGTGAAAAATTTCTTCCTTAGATCTATGAAGGGCTACCAGACTCGGGAGTGAAGCCAAGACTTAGCCACCCAGCTCTGTTTCTGTGCAGGGACCTGTCGTGGTTTTGCAGTGGCTTTTTCTAAGCAATGGAATATGGTAATATTTTCCTCCTGGATGCCACACCTGGACATAAGATCCAGTCACATCTACACAGATGGCTCCATTGTTCCAAACGCATCTGCCTCAACACAAACATCTACTTTGGTGATAGTGAGCACAATTACAAACTAAATTCCTCAATTTCACAGCAAGGTCCACACTCCCTCGACTTCCTGCAGCGTGATCTCAGCTCTCTCCTGACTAATCTCTCACATACTCAGAACAATTCACGTTTCAAATTTCTCACCAGCTCATAAGCCAGAATGTGAGGAGTTTTCTCATCTGGCAGATGGGTAAGTATTTCTATTTGGCACGTGAAGAGTTGTGATTAACAGCAATCTTAGAATCCTGATGCAATTTTTCTTCCTGCCAGGTAGTAGGTATGTAGAGGATGAGGTGAGAATTAGTTGCAAAGAACGCTGTATTACTTACTGTCTGAGCTGCAGATGAATTCTGCCTTGGTCCAGGAACACCTTTTCCGTCATGGGAATGGGCGTGCACGGAACGAGAAGCTGGTTTGGTTGGCTTCTTAAACTCGAAGGATTCCTGAATTAAAAAGGTGCAAAGTGATCATTTTACCAAAATTACAAACGGTGTAAAATGCTTTGATCATTTCATCTTTTTTTTTTTTTTTAAGCTACCTGACCTTTTGGATTTAAGTTCCCTGCTACCAACAGGAATAGTCTGAAGGCAAGTGTTTTTTAATTAAAGACATTACAATAGTGATTTGTTTAACATAATCAAGTTTTCATCCTTTTGATATCACCTGCGGGCTTAAGGCTTTTCTATTTGTCAGTCAACTTCTCTGCAAAAAAGATCATTTTTAAAGGCTGCCTCCTGACACCCACTCTTCTGTAGAGACCCATCAGAGTCCTGCTGACGGGGTTTCCAGCAGCAAGGCCCTTTGGATCAAGCAGGTGAAAGGAGATTTGTGCTGTGAGGAGCCAGGGCTCCCCATGTCAGCAGTGGAAAGAGATGAGGTGACCTATCTCAACAGCTTTCTGGAGGCACCCCTCGTAGCTAGCTAAAGCCAGCAGCACGAATATGTTTTCCCTCGCCGCATTGTGAAAGGAGTCAGGCTCAGCAGCGTGAAGGTGGAGCTGCACAATCAAAGTCTTCCAAAATGTATTCACCTATAATCAGTTTGGGGTTGCTACAACCAGTGCTGTCGCACTTTGCTGCGAGTTCCCCTCAAATAAGGTACACAAAACTCTGTGGTGGCTGAACCACAGCCTGGCAGGGAGCAAAAGCCTCTTCCACTGTTGAAGGGGGGTGTGAATTCAGCTTCCTCGGTACCACCTCCTACACCATATCATCCCAGGCAACAGAAAGCAACACTTACGTTCTCCTTATTTTCATCCTGTTCCAATGGTTGAAAGTCGTCACCATCCAGAGACCCGGAAAGGTTTCTCTTCAGAGCAGGGCTGGACCCCAGGAGGCTTTGCTACAACGTTCACACGCAAGTGTCAGTTCAGTATTGTGCAATATCATCTTTGCACAACTACATTTTAGGCAAAAGAGCAGCTAACAAAGACCAAAAGGTATCTGACTCCAAATCTGTGCAAATTATGTGCAGGAGTCTTTTGTGCTGACATACGGTACAGGTACCAAAATGCTTCAACTGCACTAGTGACAGAGCCACACTGCTGAAATTTCACACCAACTCCAATGAGATTTTCAGTTTACAAGCTGCAATTTTGCCAGTTTTCATTAAGTATCACCAGTTTACATTAAGTTTTCATTAAGTAAGCAGCTGTTCTTGAAGACAGAAAACTAACAACTTATGGAATGTATGCAATTAAAAACAGTTAACACGCTAAATCCTTTAACATTTATAGAAACCAACACCACTCTCACTTACTGGCAGGGAATGTATTCTTCTGAAGGGCATTCGAACGCTGCAATGAAAAGAGAACCAAGATTTATTTCAACATTTTGTTTTAAAAAGACAGTAACATGAGTAAAACTCACTTTCCCCCCCCAACAAAACTCCAGAAGCTACAACAGTCACTGACAAAAAAGCTGAAACAGAAGCATACTTACTTCAGCCTGCTCGATTCAAGAATCGCTTTCTCAAATCTAAAAGCAAGAGAAATGCTCCAGTTAGTGCCAGAGGATATTAAATACAAGGTTGATTTGTAGTGTAAGTCACAGAGAGTTATGCCAAGCAGAAGCCAACGTGCTTCTTGATGACACTTTGTCTTTCTCAAAAGCTATTTATAGTCAGCTGATCCCATCCTAGTTTTTGAAACTAGCTAGACTCCTCCTCTCCTTCCTTTCCCCAAATTCTTTTCAGCATTGTTTAGACAAGAAGCTAAGTCAAAGGAAGAAAAGCTCAGTAAACAGAGACCAAATCTGTGCCCCATCCCTGGGGATAGAAGATTAGGAAAAGAAAAATCATCTAATTGAAAGTGGCAAGTTCAAAGCTGTGAGGAACTGCTTGACACCGGGTAAGGCATATAGAAGCACAAATGATAACGTAAGCGTTGAGTGAAAGCTGCAACTTCCACGCAGCTTGGTGCAGCCTCAGCCTCCTGGTAAGGTGTCAGAGTCATGCCAAACAGGCTGGTTGGTACAACACATTACCTCGGACTCAGGACTTGGCAAGCAGCTATCCAGCAAAGGAGAGAAATGGGTGGTATCAAAAGGAACAAGAATTAATACAAACTCTGCAGTTGGTGAGCAGGAGATTGGGAAATAGAAAGGCAAAGGAAAAGCCAGGTCAAGGCTCTCATTAGCCGACGTTTGTTAACGGTTTGTTAATGATGCCACGAGTCAGGCTCGGCATAGGGGTACGTACGTGTCCTCCATGATATCGTTTGCGGTCGCAGGATCAGGCGAATTCAAAGCACAACCTGCAGAGGAGAGACAGTGTTTGCTACTGAGCAGCATCTCAGCACCTATGGAACACAAAATATTGGACATTGCCACATTTCCCCTGGAAGACCCCAAGCTCAGACAGGAAACTAACACAGAAAGCCCCATCTGCAGCCTCATCTCAGCGTAGATGCAACCACAGCTACAGACACTCCACACGCTTGGGTTTTCACCATCAAATCATCAGCTGTTAGTGCTTGGGGGAAAAACGGGAGTAATTGAAAAAAGCATCCTGAGCCCAGCCTGGAATATCATATAGAACAGAGTCATAGAATCCCAGACTGGTTTGGGTTGGAAGGGACCTCACAGACCATCCAGTCCCAACCCCACTGCCATGGGCAGGGACACCCTCCACTACACCAGGTTGCCCAAAGCCCCATCCAACCTGGCCTGGAACACTGCCAGGGATGGGGCAGCCACAGCTTCTCTGGGCAACCTGTGCCAGTGCCTCACCACCCTCAGAGGGAAGAATTTCTCCCTCAGATCCCATCGAAATCTCCCCTCTTCCAGTTCAAAGCCATCGCCCCGTGTCCTGTCACTCCACACCCTTGTCCAAAGCCCCTCTCCAGCTTTCCTGTAGCCCCTTTAGGCACTGGAAGGTCTCCCTGGAGCCTTCTCTTCTCCAGGCTGAACAGCCCCAACTCTCCCAGCCTGTCTCCAGAGCAGAGGTGCTCCAGCCCTCGGAGTCCTGCCACACAACACGGAATGCTCTTGGCTTATTCTCTCACATACTCATCTTCATAGACAAGTTGGTCCTTTAGGGGCTTTTGAGCCTCTGTTTAGTTACACCTCTTTGTATGAAGAAGCTCCAGGCCCATTCCCAAATGGCACGTGAGGGTACTGGGAATAACAGCAAGCACTCCATGAGCATAAATCACGTGAAACACTACATGATTCCACAATTCCAGCTATGCAGCATTTAAGTACAGCCAAATACGAATCTTATTCCATCGCAGACCCTCGAGGAACATTTGTATTCTGGTTGTAATCACAAGCCCTGGTGACAGGCCGACAGCTTCCCAGAACGGACCCTACAGCGTCGTGATGAGACTTCCTACTTCAATAACTGTCATCTAAATAAATTACAAAGAATTAACGTGACTAACGCGACAGGTAGTGGTCTCAGCACGGCAGTAACCTGAGTCAGAAGTGTTTAGTAAGCTCTATGCTCCCTGTCTCCAAAGCAGGCCTTAAGGAAAAAAAAGAAAGAACAAACAAAAAACCCAAAAAGACAGTGGAGATTTAGCAAGCTTGGTTATTCCACCCCACTTTGTGGTTTGGGAGCTGCACTTGCATTCTAGCCGTTCCAAAAGTGCCTTTCAGGGCTGAAAGTACCATCACGGTCAGACTGGTGCACAAATTCAGATGGAGACTCTGATTTATGTCACTGGGTTGGACAACAAAGTGTCAGAAGCTTCCCTGATTCTACAAGTTATGGAGTAATAGCTTATTTCATGTTTACTGATAAAACACCTCATTTGAAAAAAAAAAAAAACAACTACTTCTGGGCAAGCAGCAGCACTAAGCCGCAGCTCCCCAGGTTCCAGATGAAGTCACCTCGTGTTAACAAAAAAAGCCACCAAAAAAAAACCTTAAGCCACAAGACAAACCCTGCTCGCAGCCTTGACTCGAGCGGGTTCGCACAGTCTGGGTGTCAAGTGAGAAACCGCACGGTGACGACTCGCTTGCACCAACGTCATCACCCTCCAAAGGGCAGAAACTCCGACCGGTCCCGTTCGGAGCCGGGTGCAGGTACACAACGAGTCCTAACAACAAAGCACAAACCATTATCTCCCAGTTTGCCAGACCACAGCCCCAATACGCAGCTATAAACGCTCACAGGCCAGTACCTGCAAGACACCACAGAGCAGAAAATGGTGAGAACCCAGTTCACCAGCAAATCCTACCCCGGGCTGCCTTTAGCAGCCTTCCTCTTCAGCTGTCTCTACTGCAGGAGAGGCTGACACACTCAGGACAAGGTGTTGACCCACCACCATGTGCAGAGCAGAACATCAAGGCAAGCAGAAAATGGGAGTGATAAACATCATGCTGGAGTACAAAGCATGACAGGTCCCTGAGAAAAAAGGGAAAAGTCCTCTCTGGCAAAGAATGCCCCTGTGGGGGCAGAACCAGGTTATCCTCCACGCTAGCTCTTCTGCTAACACATTCCAGGACAATTAAAGCAAAAAACCACACAACATACACAGCCTACAACCCAAACCCAAAGCGCAGAAGCTTGCCGAGCGATGCTCTGCCTGCCTGCCCCCTTTCCAGAGCACAAGAATGGAAAGAGGCTGCAGGGATCTATCCAAACCCTGGCAGCTGCTCGCAGGAAAAGCCACATAAAGACACGATGCTTTTCAGTCCTCCCTTGTCACCTATTAATTCAGGGGGGACTCAGGGGGGGACCTTCTCGTTCTCTACAATTACCTGACAGGAAATTGTAGGGAGATGGGGGTCGGGCTCTTCTCCCACGTTAGGAATGACAGGATGAGAGGGAATGGCCTCAAGTTATGCCAGGGGAAATTTAGGTTGGATATCAGGAAGAATTTCTTTCCAGAGAGGGTTGTGAGGTATTGGAACAGGCTGCTCAGGGAGGTGGTGGAGTCCCCATCCCTGGAGGTGTTTAAAAACTGTGTGGATTTGGAGTTGAGGAACATGGTTTAGGGACCCCGACAGTGCAGGGGGAACGGTTGGACTCGATCTTGAGAGTCTCTTCCAAGCAGATGATTCCATGATTCTAGTTGAGAAAGCCATACCTGAGTCCGTTGATTCCGACGACACTGTTCTCTGTAAGCCATTAGCATTCTTGTTTCCCAGATCTTGCTCCGCGGTGTCGTGCTGACTGTAAAAGAAGTGAGGCATTCGGTGTGAGTGCTCATTGACGTGAGAAATACAACCCAGGAGAGCCTGAACGTGGATCTGCAGCACAGGTGATCATAACCTGAAACCTTCCCCATCAGCTTGGCAATCCTGCAGACTGCAGCCTCTTGTGCCCTGCGTGCAGGTGGTACGCAGCCCATGCCACCCCCAGCTCACCACACTTAAATATCCTCAGATCTAACACCTACAGGGACCTGAGGTTTCGGGTTTGTTTTCAAACCTGCCCACGCAGCACTGGTAACGTTACAAGTCCAGCTTCCAGAAGGAGACAGGGAGGGTGCCACTTAAGGCAATAATTATCCTGGTTGCATTTCTGGTCACCTGGCACCAAACCACCAAGCTTTTCTCCATGACACACTAACTGTGAGGAGGTTTGTAAAAACCATGTTTTAAAGCCTGTCCTGAGCTTGTGCCTTCACAAACAAAGGTCCTCACACAACAAAATGACAGACTTCGCAATAAAATTTCAGGACTAAAACCAATTTAAGTGTGCAATAGGTTACTGGTGCCTGGAATCACACTAGCACCTCTCAAACCATCCTCTAGAAACACCTCTATCAGAGCCCCATTATCCTTCTCAGGACTGCAACCATCTCTGGCAACAATTTAATTATTGTTTTGCACAAAAAAAAATACCAAACTTGTAACTCAAACTCATTTTTGTATGTAGTTAGCTCTCAGATTTTGTCTTATCAACTGAGCAAGTTCTCTGCTCACGCAGTTCCCCAGACTTGTTCAAATCATTCTGGAGGTGAAGGGGCTCGAGGCACCCAGAGCCTGGCTGAGGAAGGCCAGCCCGACCCGACACGTGGCAAGTACAAACACTGCCCTGCCAGCAGGCAGGGAACTTGGAGGAGCTCTCATGATCCTTCTTGTACCTTCTTATGTTTGGGAAAGCTACCTGGCTCCTCCATCACGAGCCAATTAAAAAAACAACTTGCCAGGGCTACAAACCCACAGTGCAGAACAAGAACACGGAGGGGGCTGATGTGAATCACTGAATCTACCGGTGTGAATTGGTGGATTTACAGGAATGCGAGGAATCTGAAGGAGGGAAGGATCATAAAGAAAGCAGGTGATTACAGAAATGAGAACGATACAAAACCAGCAAACAAACGACAAATACCAGGAGGGCCATCAGGACCAGAGAGGAGGCCAGGGCAAAACAGGAGCCGTACAAGAGACAAACTGTAGAGGCTGCTGTAGGAATAACAAGATGAAGGAGTTGGAGACCAGTAACAGCCAAACTGGATGGAGCAACCGCGGGGCCAGAGGAGTGGCAGAGCCCAGAGACTTCAGCACCTTCTGGGTGTGAAACAGAGAGGAGGGGTGTGCAGGGCGAAGGCGGGCAGCAGAGTTAAAGGAGCTGGGTCGCAGGAGACGATGCAGCCAAGGTGGGATGGAAGGCAGGAAGAGCAGGCACAAAGGTACCAGCATTGATTTGTGGGAGAGGGGGAGCACCCAGGCCTGGAGCCAGGCACAGGGAAGGGCTCAGGAGCCAGGTGGGTGCCCAGAGCAGAACCAGGGCGAGATGGTGGCGCGTGGTGGGACACCCCGGGGAGA